CCCCTCCTTTAAAGACTCTAAAATCCAAAAAGCGGAAAAATCTGAGGGTCACGATAGCCGAATACTGGCTGATTGGATAAAGAAGACAATGCGAGGCATTTGATCTCACTTTCTTGGAAGGAAGAGAAAGGAATTTCTTGAAAGTCTTATGCAGAAAGATGGAGTCTGAACGGCTTACTTAGGTCTATAAATAGGTAAAAACAAGTAGAAGTGGAAATATAACTAACTCGAAGCAAATGACTCGGAATGCAGGTGGTGGCGTGAAACTATGCGCGAATCGATCCGAGAGAAACACTTCAAAATCGTATTCACTATGGACTTCCCTGAAGCAGCTTTGTTGTTCGTAAACAGAATGTTCGAAAGAGCAACTCACTGTGCACGCGCTTGACGACGACGACTGGCATTTTTTCTCGCAGATTTGATAGAAGAGCGCCTTCTGCGGGCATATTCTTCCCATGACGACACTGAGCTTGCAATGTGTTCAAAATCTGGCCAATACGCAGGACGGATGGGTCTTCGGTAGTTCCGCGCGAGCTGTAAAAAAGGACTATGTACAGGTTATTTACGGGTTTCTTTTTCATTCAGAGATGCGTGTGGAAATCCCAGATCAACCAGTTTATGCTCACAGCAAGCATAACTCTCTCAGCTCATGGTCTGTCAAAACGAAACATCTATCACCTTCCTCATGTCTTACTATTACTAAGAAACGAAGTATCGTGGGTAGTAGGTACTCAATCATGAACCAGTAGCTCTAAGTGACCGACTGAGTGAGTGAGTAACTCCCCAATAGAGAAAAAATGAAAAAAATCTTGGATACACTCTGATCCCCGTAGTAGTGGGGCCGGTGGCTTGGACTATTTGCCGGACGTCGGCAAGCCCAATCAGCAGGATTCGACGTGCAACCGATTCCCGGCAAGAGCACAGGAAATCACCCTACGACGCTCCAGGCAACGCTATGTACACACGCAATTCCGCTTGTAAGCCGTTGTCTTGCAGAGTGAAAGTAATCGTGGTTGCAATAATACGCGTCTCTAGCTTCTTTAACTCGGTTTCGAGTGATGAAAGTAGTACATCCTGTGCGAATTCGGACAAATGCCAAATACAAGGAGGCATTTTGTGGACCAGCAGGCTGAGTTTGACGTGGGACCAGCCCGTTTTCCACCAATTGTTCACATGCCCGCTTCAGGCTTGGTAGAGAACGGGCTGGGGACGCACCAGACTCAGCTCCCTGACACGCCCCAGGGTTTGTAGGAGAAACAACTACAGCTCGACGCTTCTGACTGGCAAGATTTCAGATGGAACAGGTCAGTTTCATCTTTGCAGTAGTCTGGTTAAGAGAATACGCAGTACTCGCGAAAAATTCCGAGATGCTAACATCAAGTTCCTGAAGGGGCAATGACAATCAGAAACATACTGCTGCCCTAATATTGAAAAATTGTAAGTACAAGCCTGACTGCAGTGCCCACACAATTTCATGTTTGATGTTTCCATGCCTCTACTGCGAACGTGACTCCCTATAAGGTGCAGGACTCACTAACTTTCCGCACAATTGCGACCCACGAGCCGCAGCTCCAATTTCACTACCTCTCTCACAGTTTGTCTGTCGCATGGTGAGAGTGAAGTGCGTAAGGGATCACAGCTGGTATACCAACAGTGTGACAAGACGGCTTCTCCTTCGGCCTCATGCACGGTACAATCCAAGTTGGCATGGTCTCGGCTCCCATGATTTACTTTTGATGATTTTCTTGCACGATGGGGTTGTTTGCGACGCGGTATGCTTATTTCTATACGAGCCCGTATGAATTCATCAAGGTTGGAGATTTGAGTCTTTGAAACGGAAAAAACATTCTGGCGACCTTGGGAAGGGATTCGAAAACTCGCGATTGGTCAAGGGAAGTCGCTCAAATCCTCGGTAGGAACTAGTTGGCAGTTGCGGTGAAGCATGGAGGAAACGAGCCATTGGCTGTCTCTCACTGTGGGGAAATCATCCAGGAGTTAGCTGTCGATCCTCTTAAAGAATAACTACTTTCAGAATCAAAATAGTTAGTATCGGAAAACCACCCACTTTGCATTACAGGCTTCTGAAGGACGGGCCTCAGAGGTTGGTGCATCCATAGGGAGGCGAGCATCAGGCCTGGTGTTATTTTGGATGGGGCAGATTGACATGCGACTAGCGGGAGAAGCGGACTTAAACATTCATGCAGAATGATATGAGCATTCTGAAGAAGACTGATCAATGGAAAAAATGTTCTTTTGATGAGGCCCACGGCTAGCTCAAAGCCAGTAGGTAATGCGAAGAACTAGATGTAGTAGAGGTTGTGCACTGATTGCAAGGTAACCATTTAAGCCAACAATGATTTGACGATGCGAGAATTATCATGATGCCGCCATAACTATCGTGATCCAGGGGCTCCATTCGTTCACTGCAGGCCGACTTCCTAGCACCAGAATTGTCTGGGAGAGAACACTCGCTTGACTGCGATTAGCCTCTACAATGCCTGAATCCCAGTTCATCGAGTAGGTCGCGCCCCCGAAACGCCATTATGATTCTGAATGGAAGTTAGATGCTTGGCGCATTCCCAAAATACGGAAGCTAGTCAACACCTGAAAGCTTTAGCCTCACTGACTATCGCGGAATTTCCTGAGTAAAGAACGTAGAAACATGACATTTTATGTTGCACTATTTTGGTAACAACGAGACAAGCTAGCTCCCTTCATTACCAAAAATAAGGATAAAATAGCCGGCCTCACCAAATTCCTTTGAGATAGGCCACACGATCTTTTTTTCAATTCCCAATTATTGAACGCTGATATTAACTGCATAGAGGCACGAATCAGCTCTTCAAGGCCATGTCATCACTCATGAGGTTGATCTTATCGTTAGAGTGATGAAATGCGAGATTGGGAGGGACCGTTGGAGTGCAGGGCGCTGCCCTAACCCTTCCCCGAGTTATTTCAACATCGGTATTACCTCCTTTATTCAGGCGGAAAAAGCGTAGTGGCAAGTGGTATGCTTACCACCGCGCGGTGCAGAAGTCAAACCTTGCATTGGCTCCCGCCTGGGCCAACCCAAGGCTTTCACCTTCGGGGACTGCAGAGTGGTATCAAAATCGCTTGAGAAGACAAGACCATTGACTTGTACATCGGCTGGTCCCCGAAAAGCATTATGTAGGCCCATTGCATTCAGGAAGAGTGAGATGCGCACTGCACCACCAAAAATGTATTGATCAATGGTGAATTCTCCACCCTCTGTTCTTATCCGCAGATAGGAAAGTAACGTTGGAAACAGTGATGATGTCAATATGCAGAATGGTATAGTTGCCATGAAGCAAGCTTGAGAACTAGTACGCAAATTACAAAATGGTAGGGCGAGCTGGGTGACATCGCTCTGTGAATAGTCTCTTTCGTAGTGTTCGTTTCTACTAGCCCAGTGGACCAGGACGACCGCATCATTTCTAGTTGAAAGTAGATGACCTAGGGCCCCGTATATTTCTTCAAGGAGGGTTGTTACGGAAGGACATGCGTATTACTCACTTTGGTCGTAAGGCGACAAATCCTGCCTTGCGAAGTGCTGAATAGGCGCGGTACTTGTAAAATGGCACTCCGGTTTCGCCGAGTATGCGAATCCCATCATAAAGCGTCAGTAGCTGACCTTCATCAGTGGCGTATGCAGTCCAAAGCTGAATAACAATATCATGATTTCTGAAGAAAATAACAACATCAATCTTTACCTCCATAAGATACAAGACTTCTTCCGGAAACAGTATATGACCGCCAGTCTTGAGAGGAACACCCATGACTTGTAGATAGGTTTTCTGAAAATGTGTCACATTAAGCTAATCAAAAGAGAGAGAAATACGAAATTTTACAGCTATTACAATATCACCATGACTTCATCACTTTGTTTTGTGAAGAAATTAACCCAATCAAGATAAACATTTCATGGCCATGCCTTCAGCTAAATTCCTATTTTCTCACTACCCAATGCAACTAAAGGGGGGGGGGAAGAGAAGGGGTTGGGCCGCAGAAAAGAAGTCGCATTATGTAAAGAACCAAGGCAGTCTGAACCGCTATCTCACACTGCCATGCGATACCAAACAGTGAGCGAGCCAGCGCTTCTACCCACCTAGCACATCTGGCACTTAACTAGCTGATTATGGCCTAATAGAAGGCGTCTTTGGCTCGAAAGGAGGCTATCCAGCTTGACTTCAGACTGTGCGCACATTAATTGGTATTACTTCCCATTACATCATGTCATCATTAAAAACAATCCCTTCAAATAGAAAATCAAATCACACATTTTCTTCGTCACTTCAAAAATAGAATGCTCGCGATTGAACGTCATATGAATGAGGGATTTCCTAGAATTTCACCGCGTTACAAAGGTAAAAGGACAAAATAGTATCTTGAAAGTTCATGAATCCTCACGAAGAACGCTTGCTTGACATCGGCTT